AGTATGAGTACGGGGAAATCAAAATGGGGGGGAGTACCCGTATTTAAAACTTTGGAGGGGGGGGAGAGGCAAAAAGCCCCCAATTTGAATCCCAACTTTGGGGTAAACAATGGGGCCCCCCCCAGAGGAAATTGGGGGGGCTTTAAAAAATAAACCAAGAAAAACAGAAATTGGGTGGGTGGAAAGGGAAGAAACAAAAAGGCAAAGTTGGGATAAAAAATTTGCCCCAAAGGGAGAGGGGATATAAAGAAAAAAATTGAAAACCCCATTTATTCAAGTGGTTTTCGGGCTGCAGTGAAAATTCAGCGGGGTTTAATGGAAAAATTTAGTTGACTTTAAGGAAATATAAAATTTCGGAGAAAAAGGGGGCACTTTCATTAAAGGTCCCTTTTTTTTTTCTGAGAAAGGATCCGAAGAATAAAATTTAAAATTAAGCCTAGATGGGTTGGAAAACGGCCAAAAGTGTAATTTTGGTTCTTTTTAAGCAAGCACCAACAGGGGAAAACCCGGAAAAACAACATTGAAGCTCACCCCCTTTTCCCCTGAGGGCCGGGGGGGATATTCCACTGTAAATAGGCCCGATTGGCGATGAAGAAAATTTTAAAGGGAAATTTTAGGTTTAAAAGGGACCAAAAAGGGCCCAGAGGGGTTAGAAAATAAAGTGTGGTGGGATTGGAAGATGTTTAAGTAGCGAAGGAACGGAGCGTTGCAAAATGGGGTTGTGAAAATGGAGGGGAGGGAAGAAAAAGGAAAAAGGGGAAATGATCATGTCCATTGAAGGTTTTAGTCTCTGCAATATATTCTAAATGGCTTCAAGGTTTCTGAATTCCAAAGAAAGTAAGGGAAAAACCCTTTGGGGGATAGGGGGAGGAGGGTGAGTAAAAATTTTTGGGGCAGTAATGGGGCTGAACCAAAAATAGAGGGGGGGAAAAGTTTAAGGGGCTGGGATGAAGTGTGGGGGGGGCCCCGAAGAGGTGAAACCTGGGGGTGACAGAAGAGGGAGAAACTTGGGGAAGGGGGGCGGGGGGGGAAGGGATAGTACGAGGAGGAGGGTGAATCTCCACACTTGTAATTGAGCCAAAAGGGGAGGGGAAGAAAATAGGTACAGAAAAGGAAAGGTAAAGTGTGGGGGTGGAAAAAGGGGAAAGGGAAAAGGGGCCCCCGAAGAATTTTAAGCAAAGTGGAAATTTTTAGACTTTGAGTTTGAGGGGCGATTGGTATTAAGGGGTCGTACGAGGTCTTGTCGATACTGGGGTTGTGAGGAAGGCCGAAGATTGAGAACAGGGCTGAGTTGTGTCGGGCCTCAGAGCCAGGGGCAGCCAAAGGGTTTGATTTCCGTAATGGCTTTGGGAGGGGTAAAACAAGGAGGCTGCCCGAAGATGGGGCCCCAGAATTGGGGGGGTTTTGGAAACACGAGAAAAAAGAAAAAACGGGGTTTTCTCCCCCTTTGGGGGGGGAGATGGTAAACTGCCATAGCATAAGGGGGACCTTTGCCTCTTTGAGGCCCAAAGGATTTTTTCGGGTTTTAAAATTTTAATAGACCTGGGAACGGGGGGAGTAAGAAGGGTGGCTTTATTACAATTTAAACAAAATGGAGGTTGACTGCAAAAATTATTAGAATGGGTTTTTCGGCACCACGAAAAAGGGGATTCGGCCAAGATCTGCAAAAATTTCGTGGGTGACCAAAACGCCCCGCAAATTTTTCTCATTGTTGCGGGGTAGGGATCACCTTTCGAAAAAATTTTAACCGATGGGCCCCCGGGCATATACAGAGGGCGGAGATTTTCCCGGGTGTTCCCCCAAATTAAACCAAACCACATTGCAAGGGTAAAAGTCCGCCCCCCGGGCAGGAAAGGGCTTAAATGTCTCCCTTTTTGGGTTGGGAAAAACCTGGAGGTTTCCCGCTTTCAAAAATGTCCCTTGACATGACTGGAAATTCTGTTGGGGGCCAAAGGTTTTGGGGGGAAAAATGACAGTAACCCCTATAAGAATTGAGGGGAAAGATGTTTTTCAAAAGTGGGTAGGGGAGTATCGATATTCGAAAGGAAAAAAGATCATGAGCTTGGGGTAGCATTTTTGGACAGTGACGATGGGTACCGCTCTTGGGGGAAGGGGGGGGGGGGGGGGGGTGGAAAAAAGAAATTTCTCTGCCAACTTTAGCAGGGGCGCTTTGGCAAAAACTATGGTCAGAAAGGAGGCGAAGAAGAAAGTTGGTCTTAAAGAAAAAAATTTAGTCCATTGTTTGGTCCAAAAAGAGGTTTGGGGAGGGATTTCTTTACTGTCGGTCGGGTTTTTTTCCCAGAAAAGGGGAAGGTAAAACGGAAGCATTTATCAGGGGAAATTTACGTTGGGGTTTAGGAGTAGGAAAAGGAGTTGGTCCCGGGAGAAAAGGGAGTGGGGGATTCGAAATTGCCGTTAAAACCGTAGAAGGGGAAGCCGGAAAGGGATAGCAAAGGGGAGCGGGGTTTTAGGGCAAATCAAGGAGCAGTCGAAGCCCCCCCGGGACCTGAAACGGGTGAGGAAACAGCACCCGCAAGAGGGTACAGGGGCATCAGGGTGGGCCCAAGATGGTTTAAAAAACAAGGGAGGGTCAGAATGGGGGGCGGTAAACAAGAAGGGGCCCGGGGGTATTTTTTTTTATGGATAGGGCGCATGGTTAAATTTCTCCCTTTTCTTTTTTTTTTTAAAAAAAAAAAAAGGGAAAAAAGAAAAAAAAAATAAAAACAAAAAAAAAAAATAAAAAAAGGGGGGAGCGGGAGGAAAGTTCCCGGAGGAATGAAAGGGCCGGAAATCCCCTCCCCCCCCCAAGAGGACTCGACACCGCTAAATAGCGCCCGTTTAGAAAGGGGAAACCCCCGGGCCCTACCTAACCCCTTTATGCCAGTAAAACCCGCAATCCGGGATAGCCAAACCCCCATCTGCCGAGGCACCCCGGTGGACAAAAGAGAGGGCGGCCGGAAAACCGCCACAAAGCAAACCTCCCCTTTAGCCAAACCCCCCCCGGGAAAAAGGGAAAAGGGGGCCTTCCAGAGAAAACACCCGTCGCCCCAAAGAAAAAACCCCAAAAATTTCTCCCGGGGTACCCAAGAGGGAAGGGACATCCCCAGGGAAAACCAGATTTTCCCCGGGAAACTACGGGACCCCCCAAGGGAAAAATCCAAAAGGAATGGGATCACCCCCCGGGGTCCCTTTTCCCCACCCTAGGAACTAGCGCCCTGTGGGAGAAAACCGAAGGCCCAAAAAAGGAAGGGCAAAAGGGAGGGGGGAGGAGGGGGGAGGAGGGGAAAGGAAAAAGGGGGAGGATGGGGAGGATGGGATAGGGGGGGGGAAAAATGGGGGGGGGTTTTAAATTAAGGGTTTGGTCTGAGGAAAAAAACCGAAAGGGGTAATTCCTAGACCAAGAGCCTCTTCACCACGCCAAGGAGCCCCCCTTGAAGAGGCAGCATAAATAGCCCCTTTTGGCTTAGCCTTTTTTTTTGGGTTATAATATAATTAATTAACGTTAGAACACGTGATAACCGACCTTTTCCTCCTTCCTTTCCCCCTTGACCTACCTTCAAAATTTTCCCTTTGGGGCCCTTTTTATCTTCTAACTTTCCCCAAATATAGGCTTAAAAGACTTATTGTAGTGGGGGGGTCTTTTTTGGGGGCTTTTTTTTAAGTGTTACACTGCTTGACTCACTACCTTGAGATTAACTTACTCTCATAAGTTTCCGGGCCAGCATAAGTACTAGGTCTTCTAAAAGTGCTTTTTTTTTTTTCCCTATTTCTATGATTTTTTTTTATCAATGGCCCTCTTTCCCACCAAGGCAAGGTGACTCAAAAAAGAACCCTTTTCACCAACCCTTCACACAAAAACCTGTCTTTTCAGAGGCACCCTGATACAAGAGTTTAGATGTCACTCCAAACAGCCAGTATCCCAAACTAATATCATTAAATTATTTTTTAAAAAACTACCCCATGCTTTTTATGATCCTTTTTGGAACCCTACTTTTCCACTAGTTCTATTATTTCTTTCACTACTACAACCACCCCATCAATATCACCATGGCTAATACCCTTACCATTACTTCCTTCCTCCCGACCGACTTCTGGGGCTTCTTTTGTTTTTTTTGCTTTAAATGTGACTTGGCAATGGGCCTTATGGGCTGAAATGTCATAAGTATCCCCTTTCCCAAAATCAGGGTTTTCATTTTTTCCAGCCCTGGTTTGTGGGCTATTTTTTTTTAATGCATTTGTGATTTTATTAAAAAATGCCTGGTAAATTTCCCAATTTAAAACAAACTATTTACACTTCACACGGGAAGACATCCCTCTTAAAAGGGAAAAATTTTAAACCCTTTTTAAGCTGATTTATGCTACTAAACCCTTTTTGCCCATTTTTAGTGTTACTCTTCATTTAAAATTTAAAATTAAAAATTAAAATGTATTTTAAATTAAAGCATGTTGGCAAGGGACATTTTAAACAGCACAAATACTACTCAATATAAAAAATTTTAAAATGATGGCCCAAATGGGAGTTTAGGTCACTTTTTTCATAATTTACTAAATTACTTTGCTTTCTATGATTAAAAAAAAAAAGAATTTAGTTGCTTTATTTAAAATTATTAATGTTTTCCCGTTTTTATCCTTTAAAAATACTGTAACAAATTTTTTCAATTTGGCTTAGTGGCCCGTACAAAACCCCAACCCTTGGGAAAAATTTTACAAACCCCCTGTGTTAAAGATAATTCGCTCTATTTCCACAGAAATTGTATTCAAAAAAATTTTTTTAAAAATGTACTCACCCCCGTTCCCATTTGTCTTTCCCCTCTCACCTGGTTACCTTTATTTTATTTTAAAATTTTTTATATTCCCAAAATTTCTTTAATTTTTTGTCACAATTTTCTAAGTATTTTAGTGCTGGGAAAACTCGTACCCGGTTTAAAATTCTATGAATACAGTAATTTTCTAAGGAAATTTGCGAAAGGGGTGCTTTTAAAGAAGCTTTCAAGTAAAAAAAAAAACCCAAGTAAATTTTGCAGGCATCAGATCTGACTGACACAGGAAATTCAAAGTATATTAACAACACAACTGTATTAATTAGCCTATACTGAAAGCAAGAAGTTAGTACCAAGTGAAAAAATCCTAACATGTCTGATTTGTATGACAAATGTTAAATATTATCAATTAAACGCTGGCTTCCTTATGAATATACTACCATTGATAATAAATTTCAACTGTAGCCACCACTATAACTAATTTTAATCAGTAAGGTTCAGGGCTGCCATGAGTTGAATTTAAAGTTCATTTAGAGTGATGCTCTCTAAAATTAAATTAAGATGAAACTTGTAATGTGCACAATACTGCAAATTTTCATTTTAAAGTGCATGAAAAAAGTTTTTATTGTGGAACATGAAAAAATAATGTGCTATATCTGACTACATGACTTACTAATTTACTGGTTTCAAAGGAACTTGACTCCTTTATTATCACCAAAATCCATCAGCTCAGCTTTCCCAGCTACTTCTAATGACTTCAAAGCTTTGAGGAGAACATCACCATCCAACCCATGAAATTCTGGAAACAAATGAATGTACAATTAGAAGCAAGACATTGTGAGTTATACTTTTATTAGAAAGGTTGGCAAGCTTAATTTTGTTCACTAAAAAACACTAAACCTGGAATTTACTTGAAGAGGGTTTCAGAGGTCAATGCCCCCACAGCTTGGTCTGAGACCAGGCCTTGTGATGGATCATGGTCTGATCAACCAGGCTGTTACTGCTGGCCACACGCAAACTAATGTACGAACCACAGCGCGGTTGGTCAGGTACTGACTTTAGGTGCCTGTCCAGTGCCTTCTTGAAGACAGCCAGGGGTCTATTAGTAATCCCCCTTATGTATGCTGGGAGGCAGTTGAACAGTCTTGGGCCCTGGACACTTATTGTGTTGTCTCTCGGTGTACTCGTGGCACCCTTGCTTTTCATTGGGGAAATGTTGCATCTCCTGCCAAGTCTTCTGCTTTCATAGGGAGTGATTTTCGTGTGCAAGTTTGGTTCTAATCCCTCTAGGATTTTCCAAGTGTATATTATGTAATTCTCTCACCTGCACTCAAGGGAATACAGATGAAGGGCCTTCAACTTCTTTCAACAAACCAGCTATATCCCACCAAGGCAGGGTGGCCCAAAAATGAAAACAAAAGTTTCTCTTTTTAAATATAGTAATATATACAGGAGGTGTTACTAGCACCTTGCTCCCGGCATTTTAGTCGCCTCTTACGACACGCATGGCTTGCGTGTGAAGAATTCTGTTCCACTTCCCCATGGAGAGGGCCTTCAACTATTCCCAGTAATTTAGGTGCCTTATCATATTTATGTGTGCCATGAAAGTTCTTTGTACGTTCTCCAGGTCAGCAATTTCCCCTCCCTTGAAGAGGGGCAGTTAGTGTACAGCAGTATTCCAGCCTAGAGAGAAGAAGCGATTTGAAGAGAATCATCATGGGCTTGGCGTCCCTAGTTTTGAAGGTTCTCATTATCCATCCTATCATTTTCCTAGCAGATGCAGTAGATACATTATTGTAATCTTTGAAGGTGAGATCCTCTGACATCACTAAACTGTCCTCTATAAAAACTGATATATACAATTAAATTTAAATGCAATCTATTTGGAAGGGAAATGGGGCCATGAGGCTTATCTTGAAACTGTTTTTTGCAGAATTAGAACACTTTGTTTTCTTCTTAGAGTGCATGTTAAAGCTTACTAAAATTATCAACATTTTTCTAAGGATGTTTTTTGTTTCACACTATACATTAGGGGTGTGTCAAAGTATCATTATCAGCCTGAAGTTTAGTGTCCTTATGGGCTAATTTTTATGGTACTGGTATTAGTGGGTTATGGCTAATTTTGATGGTACCTGTATCGACCTAAAATTAAGTATCTATATTGGTATCAGTATTGGCAAAAAATCTGGTATCATCCCATCCTTACTTTACATAAAATTGAGAGTACATTTTTTATTTATTATTATCATTACAATATTTATTATTACTAATTAGGGTGTCTTCAAGGTTGATGGAGTTTAGGGAGGGCTAAAGCCACCCCTAAGTACCACCACTATTTTTTTTGTATTCCTTGTACTGTACTTTATAAATCCCCAATGAGTCAAAAATCATCTTAGCAGAAAGTGTCTTCACCAGACTGTAAATATAAAATACCACACAATATACACATACCATTTTTCTTATTTTTACAACAAATGATAAATCTGTTGATCTTGCTCACTGGTTTAATGTTTTTGTGAATAAAACAACAATTATCTTATTCAAGTAAGTATTCCACAGGCAAGTGGAAGTGGTCAGGACACTGCAATAGCTTGCAGCACTCTAAAATGGAAGGATCAATGCAGGCCCAACTACTTGCTCATAAGTAGTCAAATACAATACAGTATATACATTTTATTGCTGTAATATTATATATCAAATATTTTTGTAGGCTTGAACGATAACTAGATGTATATCAGTTGCTGTGAGATCCAAGAAAAAGATATCCCCGTATTTCATAATCCTAGTCCCTTGTGCCTCAATGACCACAACTGGACAGTGTGGTATAAGTTGACAGTGCAACAGTTTAACCCTTTGACTGTTTCGACCGTATATATACATCTTACGAGCCAGTGTTTCTGACGTATATATACTCGATAATTCTAGCAGCTTCAAATAAAGCAGGAGAAAGCTGGTAAGCCCACATGCGAGAGAATGTATAAAAAAAATCCTGCAGCACGCAGTGCATAATGAGAGAGAAAAACTTCGATCATGTTTTTGGATTAAAAAGCCAACTTTGAGGTGTATTTTCCTATAGTATTTATGGTTGTATTCTCGTTTTCTTGGTCTCATTTGATAGAATGGAAAACATATTACAGAAATAGAGATGATTTTGATTAGTTTCAAGATGAAAACGACCTTGAAATTGAGCTGAAAGTAGCAGAAATGTTTGATTTTTATCAATGTTCAAGAGTAAGCAAATCACACCACACGTCCAATACACGTCAACTGGGGAGTCTAATATTCTTTCACTAGTGCACTGATATTATTTATACCATTTTTACAATAATGCAGTAGTCTGCATAACAGTAAATCTTCTATTTTTTGTGTGAATAAAAAATCAAAAGAGAAAGCAAGAGTAATATAAGAGGGACCTGGAGACGTGACTAATGAACAGAGGCTATGTTATTTTAGTGCCAAGAATGTTTGCATTGTTTATTCTGAACCGTATTTTGAAATTGACATCTCTTTTAATTTGCATGAAATTGGCCAATTGCCAATTTCTGATCACTTTATTGGGTAGTTGAAATCAGTAAATGGGCAGTTTCTTGTACTCAATTGATAGAAAAAATGGAGTTCTACAGAAATATCTATTGAGTTTGGTTGACTGGAACAACGGAATTGGACGAAAATAGGGCTCAATTCGGCGAAATTGCCGATGCATATATATCGCTGAGATCGGTAACTTCGCGGGAGCGTAATTCTGTAAGTTTTCAATCAAATTTCGTACTTTTGGTGTCATTACCATCGGGAAAAGATTATCTATAATTTCATAAGATTTTTTTTTTTTTTCCAAAAAATTTTTCGACACCAGGAGACACTTAAGGATTTGGGGTTGCAACAGTCAAAGGATTAATATTAGCATTAAAGATTTTAAGGGACTCAGAAGAGGCATTCACAAGTCATCATAAGGAAATTAATTTCTCAAGTTCTTCAATAAAAATGATCTAATTTAAAAATAAAATTTTCACTATGTTAATATCTTTAACTTCCTCCTTCAACCCTCATGCATACTTTGCTAAAACAAAAAATTATTTGCTCAATAGCTATTTCATATTTTAATTTTATAAGCAATGAAATATCAATAATTAATGTAGAAAACTTCTATTCCACAATACACTCCTATTTCCCAGTGGTACGAAACAAAAACACACTGTACCTTGATTGATGGTATCATCACCTTGGCTGATCTCATACAGTGTACAAACGCTGTTGATGTGACTGGTGGCTTGAGCCCATGTATAAATCTGCTGACCCCATTCAGCTGGACTTCGCCAAAACAGGTACCCTCTGAGGACATGACAAAAGGCCTTTACTAGCCTTCTTGAAAAGATTCTTTCCAACCTATACCTAATAACACTGAAACACTGTCACTCCACTGCTGCACTGTCAGCAGTGGAGTGACACTCATCTTACACTGTGCCCTGGCAAAAAAGGCAAAAATCATTTCTTATTTATAAATACATTTTTCTTATTTAAAAACCTGTAACAAAAAAATTGGGGCAGTTTTTTGGGGGCTGGAACGGATTAATGGCATTTCAATTAATTTCAATGAGGAAAATTGATTTGATATACTACGAGCAAATTGAGTTACGAGCTAGGTCACGAAACGAATTAAACTCGTACGTTAAGGTACCATTGTAATATAATTTGTAAAGAACTTATTTTGTTATGCAGCATTTTAACTACACAAAAAACAAACTGAACTGTACTGTACTGCACATAGCACTAAAGTGAGGATCTATTCAGTGATGATACATCTGCATACCAAGTGAAGTGCAATAAAGTATATACAGATAAACTCTGACTGATAAATGCCTTAGGTAATACATGCAGCTATTAAGTAAAGACTAAACAGCAAACTTTAATTAGAGACAGGACTTGTATAAAGAATATACGTAATATATTTGTTGTGAAGCTTAACTAGTAGTTTGTTAGGTTTAAACTCTATTGACGGTCATTAAGACTGCAGTACATCTGTACACCACCATTCAATAATAATAATAATAATATTATTATTATTATTATTATTACATGTATTATTATTATTCTTAATACTTTAATCCCTAAAACAGGAATTGAAGTACTGTAAACTCACTGTATTTGGGGTCCACCTGCCTGCCTAGAGTGACAGGAGAGACTGCATTTTTTCTAAAATTATTTAACTTTTTTATTATTATTTTTTTTTGCCTAAAATTGTCAAAGGGCATGGCCGAATTATTTGTCAGACCAGTTGCTTCCCACAAATGTGAAAAACTATACACAAAGCTTTCATTAAAGGTAAAATTAGAGTAGGTAAAAATAGTTTCTTAAATGTCCAGTGTCCTGCTCCTACAGGGTCACCAGATTTTTACGAGACCATGGGAAAAAAGTGTAATTTACTCTTTCACTTCTTACAAATTTGAAAAACTGTACACAAAGGTTTCGTTGAAGGTTAGGTAACATTATCATGTATATCCAGTTCCCTGATTTAATTTGGGTAGACAGCAATCACCCAGGGGGGTACTACCGTCCTGCCAAGCGAGTGTGAAATGAAAGCCTGTAATTGTTTTACATGATGGTAGGATTGCTGGTGTCTTTTGTCTGTCTCATAAATATGCAAGATTACAGGTAAGTCTTGCTACTTCTACTTACACTTAGGTCACACTACACATACATGTACATGTTTATTTATACACACTCATCTGAGTTTTCTTTGATTTTATCTTAATAGTTCTTGGTCTTATTACTTTTCCTTTTATATCCATGGGGAAGTGGAATAAGAATCTTTCCTCCGTAAGCCATGCGTGTTGTAAAAGTCAACTAAAATGCCAGGAACAATGGGCTAGTAACCCCTTTTCCTGTAATAATTACTAAAGAGAATAATAAGAAGAAAATTGTCAAAGTGGGAAGTCTGAATGTGCGTGGATGTTGTGCAAATGATAACAAAGAGATGATTGTGGATGTTATGAATGAGAAGAAGCTGGATGTCCTGGCTTTTAAGTGAAACAAAGCTGAAAGGGGTAGAAGAGTTTCAGTGAAGAGGAATAAATGGGATTAGATCAGGGGTTTCAAATAGAGTTAGAGCTAAAGAAGGAGTAGCAATAATGTTGAAGGATAAGTTATGGCAGGAAAAGAGGGACTATAAATGTAGTAATTCAAGGATTATGTGGAGTAAAATAAAGGTTGGATGTGAAAAGTGGGTTATAGTAAGCATATATGTACCTGGAGAAGAGAGAAGTGTAGAGGAGAGAGAGAGATTTTGGGAAATGTTGAGTGAATGCGTGGGGAGTTTTGAACCAAGTGTGAGAGTAATGGTAGTTGGGGATTTCAATGCTAAAGTGGGCAAAAATGTTGTGGAGAGAGTAGTAGGTAAATTTGGGGTGCCAGGGGTAAATGAAAATGGGGAGCCTTTAATTGAGCTATGTGCAGAAAGAGGTTTGGTAATAAGTAATACATATTTTATGAAGTAGAGGATAAATAAATATACAAGATATGACATAGCACGTAATGAAAGTAGTTTGTTAGATTATGTATTGGTGGATAAAAGGCTGATGGGTAGGCTCCAGGATTACACATTTATAGAGGGGCAACTGATATATCGGATCATTATTTAGCTGTAGCTACAGTTAGAGTAAGAGGTAGATGGAAAAAGAAGAAAATGGCAACAATAAGCAAGAGGGAGGTGAAAGTGTATAAACTAAGGGAGGAGGAAGTTTGGGTGAGATATTAACAACTATTGGCAGAAAGGTGGGCTGGTGCAAGTATGAGTAGTGGGGGGGTTGAAGAGGGCTGGAACAGTTTTAAAAATGCAGTATTAGAATGTGGGGCAGAAGTTTGTGGTTATAGGAGGGTGAGGGCAGGAGGAAAGAGGAGTAATTGGTGGAATGAAGAAGTAAAGGGTGTGATAAAAGAGAAAAATTTAGCTTATGAGAGGTTTTTACAAAGCAGAAGTGTTATAAGAAGAGCAGAGTATATGGAGAGTAAAAGAAAGGTGAAGAGAGTGGTGAGAGAGTGCAAAAGGAGAGCAGATGATAGAGTGGGAGAGGCACTGTCAAAAAATTTTAATGAAAATAAGAAAAAATTTTGGAGTGAGTTAAACAAGTTAAGAAAGCCTAGGGAAAGTATGAATTTGTCAGTTAAAAACAGAGTAGGGGAGTTAGTAGATGGGGAGATGGAGGTTTTGGGTAGATGGCGAGAATATTTTGAGGAACTTTTAAATGTCGGCAAAGAAAGGGAAGCGGTAATTTCATGCACTGGCCAGGGAGGTATACCATCTTTTAGGAGTGAAGAACAGGATGTGAGTGTGGGGTAGGTGCGTGAGGCATTTCGTAGAATGAAAGGGGGTAAAGCAGCTGGAACTTACGGGATCATGACAGAAATGTTAAAAGCAGGGGAGGATATAGTGTTGGAGTGGTTGGTATTTTTGTTTAATAAATGTATGAAAGAGGGGAAAGTACCTAGGGATTGGCAGAGAGCATGTATAGTCCCTTTATATAAAGGGAAGGGGGACAAAAGAGATTGTAAAAATTACTGAGTATACCAGGAAAAGTGTATGGTAGGGTTATAATTGAAAGAATTAGAGGTAAGACAGAATGTAGGATTGCGGATGAGCAAGGAGGTTTCAGAGTGGGTAGGGGATGTGTAGATCAAGTGTTTACATTGAAGCATATATGTGAACAGTATTTAGATAAAGGTAGGGAAGTTTTTATTGCATTTATGGATTTAGAAAAGGCATATGATAGAGTGGATAGAGGAGCAATGTGGCAGATGTTGCAAGTATATGGAATAGGTGGTAAGTTACTAAATGCTGTAAAGAGTTTTTATGAGGATAGTGAGGCTCAAGTTAGGGTGTGTAGAAGAGAGGTCAGTGGTCAGTACGCTGAGGTCAGTGGTCAAGTGCGGTCATACCTGCCAAGCTCTTGGGAGTTAGCGTGGGCTGTTACCCATTCCATGGCTTGTTGTAGTGCTTTAGAATCCCAGGTTCATGTGTTGAAGAAGGAGATTCTACTTCTTCAGGAGGAAAATAGGAAGCTGAAGCTTTGCATAGATGAGTTTGGGAGCGAGTGTGAGAAGGATTTAACTGGTAAGGTAGGAATGGTCACCAGCAGTGAGAGTGGCAGCCGCTTTAAGTGGCAAGTGGTTCACAGTTCAGGAAGAAGGAAGATGAGGAGAGTTAATAGAGAAGATGTGAAGGTAGGAAATCGATTCTCTGTTCTCCAAGACGAGTGTACTTCAGTGGTTAGTGAGGTTGAAGGTACCACTGATTCCCCTGCTAATCAAGGTAAGAATATTTTAATAGTAGGCGATTCTCAGGTAAAATATATGGACCGTGCATTTTGTAACTAGAGACAGAAAGTTCAGACAGAGAGTGTGTCTTCCTGGAGCTGGTGTTGGCGACATAGTCAGCAGGTTGGATAATATTATGGCAGGTAATGGGAACAAGCCCATTATCTGTCTTAGTGCTGGGGGTAATGACATTGGGAAGGGCAGGAGAGAGGAGCTGCTGGATAAGTACAGGTCAGCCATAGAAGTAGTTAGGTCTAAGGGAGGGATCCCAGTCATATGTAGCATCTTGCCTAGAAAGGGAGTGGGCAATGAATGGATGTCTAGGGCAATTGGTATAAATCACTGGTTAGACAGGTACTGCAAGGAACTTGCAATCCCATTCATTGATAACTGGGACCTTTTCTTTGGCAAATGTGATATGTATGCAAAGGATGGGGTTCATCTCTGGGGATGGAGTGGTTGCATTAGCCAATTCAATTGAGAGGGTAATTGATGACTTGTCTAGGAATTTAAACTGATAGATTATAGAGGTATGGGTGTTTGTGGGAAACAATCAGGCTGCAGCATTAGGGTTAAAAACACCAGTTATTACCGGGATACCTCAGGGATATGTTTAAAAGACAATATTCAAAATAAAGTTGCTAGTAATGGCAAATCAATTGATCAACAAACAAAGAGAGATAGTAGAGGGCAACGAGTGACTAGCTCCCTAAAGGTTTACTATACAAATAGTAGGAGTCTAAGAAATAAGATAGATGAGCTAAAATTACTTGCAGTGTAGTTAATATAGATATTATTGGTATAACAGAGACCTGGTTCAACCTGAAAGATAGAGAAATGCCTTCTGAATGCAACATACTGGGTTATAAACTATTCCACACTGATAGGGTCAACAGGAAGGGTGGTGGTGTGGCGATGTATGTCAGAGAAAATTTAAATTGTTGTCTTAGACATGATATAAGATTAGAAACATCGAACACAGAATCGGTTTGGCTACAGTTTCTCGAGGGACGTGACAAATT